TTAGTCACCAATGATGCACTGCCAAGAACTTGCACCTGAAATGGCAAATCATATAGCACAATTGCACTCGACTTTTGCCTTCCAGACATGATGCTGAAGTTGTAGAAACATGTTGGTAGGGTTCCCGAAAGATTGTTGTGAGCAAGATCCAAGATCTGGATAGAAGTGAGACGACAAAGTTCATCWGGGATTTCACCTTCCAGCTTGTTTGACCTGAGGCTGACTAGTTTCAACTTTGTTTCTTCTCCATCTATCAACAATGGTATGCTTCCGGTGAAATCATTCTCAGCAAGCTCAATAATTTGTAAGCTTTTCAAATTCAAAAGAGATGCAGGTAATTTCCCAGAGAGCTTGTTATTGCGGATGTTGAATGATTGGAGGGAAGATAAGCTCCCCACAGATTGTGGAAGTTCTCCAGAAAGATTATTGTTCTCAAAGTTTACAACCGATAAAGCTTGCCAATTCGTCCAACAATCTGGGATAACACCTGACAGGTTGTTATTGGCTAAATCAAGAACTTGCAACTGTCTTTCGCTCTCCAAACTAGGACACAAGAATTGCTCGAGAGATCCTGAAAGATTATTGTTTGAAACATCAAGAAGAAGAATGTCAGCTTCGTTGAATTTTCCAGGCAACGAGCCTTCAAATTGGTTGTCACTTAGATCTACTACAGCYTCTGGTGCAAGGATAAGATCTCCTATCAACATCCCTCGRATATTATTGTGAGACATGTTCAAGAAACTAATATCGGGAAATGAGATCCAAAACCAACTAGGTACGATGTCTGAAATTCCTGCATCGGCTATGTCCAAATTCATCAAGTTTSTTTGTGACCGAAGCCATGAAGGAAAACGAGGGCCTAATTTCCAAGAACCTATTCTCAGTCTTTCGAGCTGGAAAGGAGGGACCCAGTTACGAACACTTAGTTCTAGAGTTAACATGTTTGCCCCTGCCCATAAACTCTTCAATGCCGTTAGATTTGCAAAGTGATCTTCAGTTAAAACACCTGTTAACGAATTGTGATGCACACTCATATATGTCAGTTTCCCTAGCTGACCCAAACTTTCAGGTAGAGTTCCATTGAAATTGTTGAAAGAAATCTCTAACCAATCCAATGATGTTAAGTTCCCCATTGAATCTGGGAGCAGACCATACATGGAGTTAACATTAAGCACCAATTGTTTCAAGTTTGACAATCTTCCTATAGAATMTGGAATTACACCAGAAATGTAATTGAATGCAAGATCAAGGGTGGCTAGATTTTGAAGATTTCCTAATCTATCTGGTAAACGACCAGAAAGGAGGTTTGCACTGAGCGCAAAATACTCCATCTTTGGCGAATTACATTCACATAAGTTATCTAGAAKCCCTGATACACTTCCAGTGAAATAGTTAGCTCGGAAATCAACATACCTCAAGTTGCAAAGGGTACCAAATGAGTTTGGCAAGGTCTCCGTGATTTGATTTTGTGACAAATCGATACTAACAAGAGAAGTCATGTTCTGAAGACCACCAAGAATTGAAGTTGAAAGATTACTGGTACTAATATCCAGGGAAACAAGACCGGTTACGCTCAACAACCCCCTCAAAACGGATGAGGAATTCATAAAATCGTTTTCAGACACGTGAACGACTTTTAGATCGATCATGTTATGAAAACCACCAACATTACCAGGAACTGGACCATGGAAAAGGCATCTTGTCAAATCTAAGGAAACTAGTTTAGTTAGACTGAAAATCCACCCAGGCATCAAAGTGTCGAAAATGTTATACGAAAGATCGAGGATGGTTAGTGAAGTAAACTTAACTGTGGTTAAATGATTAGAGATCTGAGAAAGATTACATGAAGACAAGTGCAATTCTACCAAAGACGGAAGGGTGTTGATTACTTGAAGCCAGTCGGATGCACCGCTAAGATCATAGCCAGACATATCTAGGTGCTGCAACAAAGGGAGACTCGACAGCCAATGCAGATTGTTCACCTGAACGTTACTTAGCCAKGGTCCGTTTCTGAGATCAAGAACAGCCAACCTGGATAGATTCCCGAGTTGTTGAGGTACTCGACCATAGAATTGCGACATTGAGAGATTCAAATATCTCAAGTTCTGAAGAGAACCGATGAAACTAGGAATTTCTGTAGTTCCAAAGTCATTGCAGCTCAAATCTAGATACCTAAGTTGCTTCAACGATAGCAGCGAAGGATTTATTTTTCCTCCTAACATCTGTGTGGATGCTTCTTCAAGTTCTGGATCGGGTCCTCGAAGATGAATCTCTTGGACGAGACCAGTGAAGTTATCGCAAACGATTCCAKCCCATCTACAACAGTTGATGTTTKCCYTGTTCCAAGATGAGAGCCGGTTGGTATCGTCTATGAGATCATGCTTAAACTGCAAAAGCGCCACTCTCTCGTTCTCATTGCATATAATCCGTCTCGAGTTCGCTTTACCCTCACAATCGGTACATAATACCAAAACAATCAGAAACCAAAAATGCATGAAAGATTTCATCAGTATCGTAGTTAGAATTATAGAAATTCTGAAAAATGAAACACTTTGAATATAAAGGATGCTTAGCAAATGTGTCTGATACACACACACACATATATATATATATATATATATACATATACATATATATATATATATAGCAATATTGCAGCCGCCAGGCCCATTTTATTGACGTCTTTTACACAATTGACTTGTATGATGACTTTCATACCTTTTTTTTATTTAGCCATTTTGTAATTATGATTTGATTTTGTAATAGCATTTGATGATTTGTAGCAATATTGGAGCCACCACTACCCAAATCAATGAAGAAAATAATGATTTTTTTATTAAAATGATAATTCATTGTTATTTTTGTCTCGAAAGCTAACTTTTGTCTTCAAGTATACGAGACTAAAATGACAATAAACTGTAAACCACAGGACAATTAACACTAAAATTTTATATGAAACGAACAAAAACAATGAAATGTGAACAATAAGAATAAATTATAGGCACATAAATAACAATTTTCAACGAATCACATGGATAAATATGTTGACTAAGAACTACTTTACTAGTCTTTCAAAGTAGAGAAAGTGACAATTTGAATTTGATTACTTAAAGAGCACTTGAACAAGAGGTTCCTGGAAAGCTCCAAGCTTCATTCACACGTGGCATAGACTGGTCCATGGTTCATTCACACATGACATTGATCAGTCCTCCAACTGAATCGTAAACAGATAAAATATGGAAACGACAATTCTAATATAATAACACTAGGAAATGACGATAAAAATAAACGTCCTCAAAAATGCACTTGCAGATATTTTGAAGAACTTACATTTTTTGTTATCTATAAAACCTATTGTTGGAAGAGGAGTAGTTGGGCATGAACTCGCAAAACTTGTACCAAATACCATATACAAATTCAAAAAATGATACCCTCCATGCCTTGCTACCCATCAATGGAGCCACTACAACCCAAAACCCCACCACGAATCCAACCACTATGCTTATAATAAGTCCCCAATCTGGTCCACCACTTCCACCTRCTTCACCGGTGTCACCCGCCCTTCCACCTCGCCTTTCGCACATTACGGTAAGCGGAGCTCCACACAGCTTGTTGCCAACAAAGCTCCACTCTGGAAGGCTCTGAAGCTGAGTGCTCGATGGAATCCTTCCTGTCAAATCGTTGTACGACAAATTCAACAAATTCAAATAACTCAAGCTTGACATGCTCAAAGGAACCATCCCGTCAAGTTGATTCATTGACAAATCAAGAGATTCTAATAACTTCATGTCACCGATCTTCTCAGGAATCCTCCCTGTTAACCTATTACTGGAAATATTCAAATATCTCAACTCCACCAGCCTCGTAATATCACTTGGAATAACCCCGGATAAATTGTTCCCTGCAAGGTCCAAAAATGTCACTAGACCAAGCCACTACCTATACTGATCTTGCATTAACTTGTTTGGCTTGGGCTCTAATTTCATTTGGATCAATAATAAGGGATGGCATTAACATACCACCGAAATGAATACCCTTCAAATAAAGACATCATACACCTATTTTTCCCTCCCAAGCCACTTTGACTGCTAAAGAAACTTTTAGGTCCCAAATCACTAATAATGAACTTCCAAAATTAACAAACATCACTTTCATGATTTACAGTTGAAACCTCTGTTTTAGATAATCAAAAGATCATATTAATCAGACCTCAGATCATTAACTTACATGGCATGGTCCTTCCATAAACTTCAAAAATCAACTTAACACCATCACTTCAGATAATCAAGTAAAACACATCAATTCATTGACTTTCAAGTATGCACCTGAGCAAAAAAGACAAAAGTTTTAAGACTCTAAAACTAGCAAATGAAAATAAAAACCTCTTGTTCAGCACCAAGTGGATATGTGGGGATGTAGGAGATAATCCGAGCATAGTACACAAACGAGACTCCTGCAAAAGCAAAAACAGCATCAAACAAACCCACAATATAATTCACCTAAAACACCCCCCGCCAGAAATCTGCTATGGTAATTGAGGGCTTTACAAAGATTCTCTCTATGTGTGTGTGTCGAAGGGTATAGCTACTAGGGTGAGAAATGTGAACTCAATTCATATTTTAAGTAACATTTGAGTAGTGTTACGCTGTTATTTTGAACTTCATGAAAGCCAATGCACCAGAGAACACCATCATCCTGAAGAAAATGTGAAGCAGTGTGGCATATCACCTGTGTGAACTTACTTTCTGGGTACATTGATCACCTTGTCAMCCTTGACTGCAAKAKCTTGAACACCATGTCCGTTGGCTCACTTCAGMGTGGTTTCCAGTTAACTCAAGATTCTTCTTTGCAATTTGGAMTRAGCGATATCACAAATCAATCACGTGGATGGTTCAGTTCAAAAGTTTAAATAACAGAAAATATAAGAAATGACAGATTATGCAAATCATCTGACAATGATAATTGTCAAAGYGGCAGCCACCTGTATGATGAAGGCTATATTGGAAATGAAAGGTAGATGAGTGAGCATAAACCGTGCCTAGGGGAAGAAAGGCATAAACAACTTAATAACAACTTGTTACCTGGTATTCAATTTGGTTCTTGCCAAGACTTTCTGCACTTCTGAAGTTGCTTATAGTTCTTATGACTGTTTGTAGTTTCGTGGTTTGCTGGTCATTTTGTATTGATAATGGTTCACAAAGATSCAATCAAGACTACAGAAATAGGGATGCAAGATACCATCTCAGGAGCAACATTGAAGACCTAATCAAACTGAAATAATGAATCACTTATTGCTATCCCAATATTCATCTGCTGAGATAGCCAACTTCATATATACAACCGAAAATATCTTGCTTACTGGAACAGATGAAGATGGTGCAGACCAAAAGGCACAAATTCTGACCAYCAATCCCACCGACACTAGATCCACAAATTAAGAGCAGAAGAGCCCGTTGAAGACACTGAAACGGATGGAAGCAGAACTCAAATAGAAGGTCTTTTAGAATTTAGGGTGATTCCACTAAGCAATTTACTTGTTTCTTGCAGATGTCTACCCAGATTACATTCTTACGTTGTATTTTCTGAAGACTGGTGATGATGATGGAAAATCATTTCAGATAAATTATGATAAAAAACAAACTCTTAACAAAAGAAGTCTGAGACCCCTGCCTTAGCTAGGTCACCCAATTTTTCTGAGCTTCATTTCTTGAATTCCAAACTTAAGAATCATGCACATACCTGTAAGTTTACAAAAGAATATTAGCCATTTGTAATCGAAAGTAGTTTTAGATTAGACAATAACTAATAGCATCACTAACACTAATAATYGATAACTAGCAACTTGTATATCCATCAGAAGCAGGGAGAAAGGTGTTCTCGGAAGCTCCACTTTGACATATATTCTTTGATGATGAGCAACAAATACATAAGATGAAAGACARCACAACAAGCTTAAAAGAKAAATCAGATGGTAATCTTAGAAACAACAATTTGATAGCAGAACTACCATTMAGTGCCAGAAGTAACAAATATACACAGAAATAGGTGGTTTAATTACATTCCTTGATGTTTTCCTCTTAAGATGATACTCCAACGACCAATCGAGCAAACTTTGCTTGTTATCAGCCAACTTTTAAGCAAAACTAGGTCCGTCATATGGAAACAACGATAAATTACCTCTGTTTGTGTTTGCAATGCTTGAAGTGGTTAAGAGATGAAGGTATATGAAAAATGAATTTGAATACAAGGATGAACGATAAATACAAACCGTGCCTTAGGAAAGGAAGAAATAGACAAATAACAATTGATTACCTTGCAGGTGGCAATTCGGTAGCTAGCAAAATTTTCCGCAATTCTTGAACACATGTATGATTCCGATTCTTAATCCTTGACCTAAAGTTATGTGGATTCATGAGCAATAAGTAAACAGCAGCACCAATGGGACCTAGAATCGAATTGAAAATGATCAAAGCGTATAAGAAGGTCAAATATCAAGTAAATAAAGATTTCACAAGGTTCATGTTTGTGGTGCCTTTTGTGCATCAACTTGTTTMTGTACAAAAGTAGGGTAGCAAGAAATAGAAAAACAAAATCACACCTGGATATGACTTCAATGTTAAATGTTTTGTGAATTTCCTGTCATGATCACTCTATTCTTTCAAGCCAACGGGTTGGCTGACTTCTCTCAGGATGAGATTCATGGCGGATTCCTTTTGTTGATTCAGGTAATTTTGATCACGTCAGTAATGTTTCGATTCTAATAAATTCATGAAGTCGAAGAACATCAACACTTACCGGTTACCACGGATTAATGAAAGATGATATGAATAGGAAATTTCTTGAATCTTCTTGGAGCTTCTATTACACWAGGAAAGAGATGATATCGGAAACCTTAAATCGGAATGAGATGGTGATGATGGAGAAGAAGCCGGTGATGTATTTATAGTTTCGGTGGATGGAACCGGAATTGGAATTATGTTGACGAGATTTTGCATTTAATGCTAACCAACAAAATCTGTTACATGATTATGAAAATCAATTGCATTTAATTGTATTAAAAGTGTGTAAAAACATTCTAAACAATAAGATCTAGAAGGAGAATTGAATGTGTTTTTGGGGTTGTTTGGTAATTATTGAATGATTTGGTCCAAAATAATTAAGTGATTAAAATGATTAATAAGTTCTCATGATATTTTGAAAAATGAAATATAATTGTTTGGTAATTGTATACAAAACATTCATGTTTTTTTTTATTTGTCGATAATAGTTCTTAGTAATTTAGTATTCAATAATGAGATTGTTGAACAATACTTCATGCATAGAAAAATATTTTTTAAGAGTTTTTGTCAAATGATTTATAATATAGTATAAATTAAAAATTAGCTTATGAGGAACTATTATGGTGAATAGCAAACCCGAATTTTACTACTTGTACCATAACAATAGAACGTTGATGAATTGAGAACATCTAAGGTGTACAAGTTTCAATAACGTAAAACTTATTGCTAATAAAAAATCAACGTTATTTTTTAATTAAAAAAATGTTTGAATAAGTTTCAATTAGCAGTTATGTTTTTTTTTTTATTTGTCGGTAATAATTGTTAATAACTAATACATGTGTATTTTTGATGGTCCAGACAACTCAAAAAACGTTCAAACCGTAGACCGGACCGTAAAAAACAGTTTGGTTTGACTTGATTTGAGCAATCTAACGGTTTTTTGAACACCCCAAGTTTTAAAAATAATTGTAAAAAAAAAACCCAGAAAAGCAAATAAAAAGTATGCTTCAAGAGATCATGGACAAAAGAAACTTAAAATTATTAAAAAGCTTTAAGAGTTCAAACTTGACCTCCGCGTATGCGAAGACGATGATAAAAAATGGCACGTTGATCAGAAATCTTTGATTCTACGTTGCTTTACAAAAAAAATATTATGTGTATTTAATTCATAAATATGGAACCATTGCAGAAGTAAAAGTAGAACGAAGAACATCAACACTCACCAGTTACCGTTCAAGTGAAAATTACCATATGAATAAGGAAATTTCTTGAAACGTTGCGTGCTTCTCACAAATGTTTTCAACTATTCTCATGGTGCTTCTATTACACAATCGGAAACCTTGAATCGGAACGAGACAGTGATTATGGAGAAGAAGGCGTTGTTTCTCCGTTGTAACCTCTCTGTAGGTATTTATAGCTTCAGTGGATGAAATCGGAATCTGAATTGGAATTAATGTTGACAGAGATTTTGTATTTAATTTTATTACTCGTAGAATTTTTTTTTTTGTCTCGGTTGATATTATAATACAATTTTATATGGTTTTGAGAAAACAATAATGTTTTTATTTTTAAATAAAATATAAATATGAAGATATCATAAAAAATTAAAAAAAAGAATATTGATATTAATATAAAACTAACTATTTAAAATTTTTATTTTTTTATTTCTTTAATTTATTTTCTTTGGGTTAATAATAATTTTCTTTAATAAAAATAATAATGAATTATTTTATTAGAACTCAGTGATTATCTTAATTATATTTTATATTTTTTATATTTAAAATGAGATGTTTATCTGTAGTTAGTCATACAAATTTAAACATGAAACTTTAATAAGTCGTATTTACGTAAAATTTACTTATAATTTTGAATTTTAAATAATATACATCAATAAACAGTATTTTATGCATAAAAAATTGTTGTTAAGAATTTTTTGCAAATACTTTATAATATAATATAGATAATGAATAAATATTTTTACATGATGATGAACATTAATTGCATTTAATTTCAATTTAAATATTAAATAAATAAATACTGATTATAAGATGAAGGAAAATAACAGAGCTATAAAATTAAACTAATATTTTTCTTCAATGATTAATTTTCATGTAATGAAATCTCACTTGCTTTTATTGTTTCTAAAAAAAATCGAAAACTTAATTTGTTTTGTCAAACTAAATATATTGTCAGTCAAATCGACAAAAATATAAAACTTATATATGAAAACAATTATGTAAAAGAAAATACGATAAAAAATATGTTTTTGTGGGTTTATTCAGTAAAATTTATGTAGAAAGCTAATATTTTTCTAAATTTGTTCCTCGTAATTAAAAAACATGCTATTTTTATTTATATAAAAAATCTTTTAATCTATACAGACATGTTAATCTACACAGACAACTTTATTCATACAAGACTTAATTAAAAACCAACCAAACAACCCCTTAATTATTTTCAAGTTTTTAAGATAACATTTTTATTCGTCATCTATGTATTATCGGATGAAACGTTACCCTAATAAGGCTATTTTTTATGATAGGAGCTTAAAAATAAGTAAATGTTATTTGTTAGAGGTTGTTTATCAAAGGCGTACTGGGTAAGCATTTATCGGCAATAGCACCATCTTAACTTACCTTATCGGGTACCTTAGCCATCAAAATGAATTGTTGGTAAGCGTATTTTACTCGGTAAGTGTTTACTGGGTGAGAGTCTTTTCCCTCACTTACCGAGTTACAAGTAGTTTTATTTTAAAACATTTTTAGTCAGTTACATGTGGGTTTTTGGGTTAAAATTGTGTAAGTAATCAATTTTAAAAGTTCGATGATTTATTTCATTGAAAAAAAAATGCTTAGGGACTTCATCATTCAAAATGAGAAAGTTTAATATTTTTTTCATTCAAAAAAATAGTTCAGAGACCTAATTATTTAAATTCGGATAGTTCGTTGGGTTTTTCTGAACTTTTCTAATTTCATACGTTGTAACACCCTCAAATTTGGAAAGAACGACTAATTCAAAATTTTCCATAATACATCAAATAAGGATTTAATCCTATTTTATAAGTCAATAACTGATTTTCTATAACATCAAAATAATATATTACAAACCTTACACAAGCCCAGCAGAGAGTGACTTTGATTTAGGCTAAACTTATATTGGTTTCATGTCGTAGGCTCAACTTTCAATATATTATGTTTTTAGTTTTCGTTTATAGGGTGATTGCATAATATAACTTGGAAAAATTATGAAATCCATCAAAAATCAAATCCAAAATTCTAAATCGTCATTCAACGTTTGTCAAAAATTCAACTATTGTTGGTAGATTTGTTTAACTTTTTTTCAACTTGCTCATTGTTTTATTTATTTATTTTAGAGGTGAGCTTTTCTTTTATAAATTGGTATATTATTTTTAATTTATCGGTAGAGATTTTAATTTGATATATAAATGTTATGTTTTTTTTTAATTTAAAGCCAATAAGAGACCTAAGCCGTTTAAACGGTCAGACTAGACCGCCTTTTGTGGTGTGGTTCGGAAGAAATATCTAAACTAATTCAACTTCGGAAGTTGACCAATGCTATCAGGAAGGGTGTCATTCAATATGTTATATGAAACATCTAACATCTCCAATGACGATAATCCGATTCAAACTAGAAACAAGACTATCGAGAAGTTGTATACCGAGTGAGTGCAAGTATGATTCAACCATAAAAGAAAAATGATATTATTCATTGTAAAATATTAAATTTGATATTAATTAAAAAAAAAGTTATTTAAATATTTTTGTTTCATACGATGTTTCGATAATCTATTAGCTTTAATATAACACACTATTATTAGGTTAAAATCCTATCTCCGAAACGATTCTTTTGATTTTCTCAAATAATTAATATTTAAAAAGAGAGCACAGTGAATGATGGAACGGAGAAAACTGTTACTGCAATTTCTAATTTTATAGATTACAACTTAAAATATGTTACAACATCATATTATTTTTCATCACTTGGAAAACATGTTGCAAAAACACTTTTGCATAACATCATAAACCATATACCCCACACGAGTTAAGAAACGAAAATATACAATCCTCCATGATCTGATGAYCATCAACGGTGCCACAATCATCCAAAAACCAGTAACCAAGCCAAGCACAATGCTGATGATCAACCCCATATCCGCTCCATCTTCATCATCTTCTTCTTCTACTTGGTTTATGGCACCTACTTCAACTGCACATTGCTTTGTGAGTGGATCTCCACAAAGGTTGTTGCCAATGAAGCTGAACTCATTCAGGCTCTGCAACTGAGTACTTGATGGTATTCTTCCCGTAAAACTGTTGTAGGACACATTGAAGTTGCTCAAGAAACTCAAGCTTGACAAGCTCGCGGGAAGCTCCCCAGAAAGCTTGTTTAATGATAAATCAAAAGATTCAAGTGATTTCAAGTCTCCAATCTTCTCTGGGATCCTTCCTACCAATTGATTTCTTGATAGATTCAGTGAATTCAACTTYCGAAGAGCCATTAGCTCACTTGGGATGTGCCCAACAAAATTGTTACTCGAAAGGTCCATCACGAAGATGAGTCTAAGAATAGTGCTRTACATGTCCTCTCGYCCCTTTATCACCAATAACTCACTAATGAGAAGCTCATTAAAATCACTCGAAAAGATAAGATTTAAATGATTTGAATCACTTTCTTTCCCAGAAAGGACACTGAAGTTGTTGAAGCATCTTGGAATATTTCCAGAGAGATTGTTGTGAGAAAGATCCAAAATGTGAATCTTTGTAAGATGACAGAGCTCYTGAGGAATATTTCCATCAAAATTGTTCGATCTAAGATTGAGACTTCTCAGATTAGACAATTCTCTCCCAAGCCATGTTGGAATGGATCCAACAAGTTCATTTCTACCAAGTAGAAGGTACTCTAAGYCTGWCAAGTTCATTARTGAAGTAGGTAGTCTTCCGGAGAGGTTGTTTCCACGCATGTTCAATTGACCTAGGTTATATGAAAACCCCAATGTTTTTGGAACCCCACCAGACAGATTGTTGTTCTCCAAGTTTAAGAATGACAACCTCTGCCACTTCACCCAACACTCAGGAATGACACCTGACA